TACTAAGTAACTGACATATATAAAATAAAACATTTGACCCGATAAACAATAACCCTAAGGGACTCTACCATAAATATTAATAACATAAAATAACTGCATATGGCACTATATCATGCGCCCTCCATCTCGTTCTAAAATTTTTTATTTGACTTTTTAGTGTAATTGAAATTTATTTTTAAAAAGAGAGAAAAAATATATAAATTAGAGATCGAATTTGAACATGTAAAAGAATGAGAATTTTATTTTGCGATCCAAAAAAATATGTGAACTTAATTAAATATAGGGCTAATTTCAATTCGATTGTGTTTATTTTTCTTTCTAATTCAGTTTATATACTTGTACGTACCTAATGCATGGCTATTTTTCTCCAGACAATGCACACAATTACTATGATCTTCTTGATTCCCATAACATTGGGAATCAATATCATGGGGTGACCCGGATACTCCGGTGTCCCGTTTGTAAAATTGGACGGCTATTTGGCCTCTTGCTAGTTTGGAGGCATTGGCTCAAGAGGAGCTAGGCTTGTTTATTCAAGTTTATCCTCCTAGTACTCAACAAGCTTACTTAGCTAGTGTTGGCCTTGGGCACGTGAAACATGTGCAGTGGCACATTATCGCTCCCAAATTTGAGTTGAGGGCCGGGCCCTTTGTTCTTTCAAAAATAATAACCACTGTTTCCCTCTTCTCAAAATTAATTTCTAATTTGTTTTTAATGTCTACATTATTTATCAACATAAAATTTTGTAGTAGAGATTTATGAATAGAAGATAGATTGAGAGTGATGGACTATAACCCCGCAAGCCTTAGAAATATGCAGTTTTTTTAAATTTAACCATTACCTTATAATGTGTAGAGTAGGTGAATGATACGGTGCAACACGAGGACGAGGAGGGCAGCAACGGACGAGCTGAGGATGACCACGAGGCGGAAGTGACAGGGACAATGGGTGAGGAGCCGGGGACGAGCAGAGCGAGACGCCGGCGTGATCGAAAGGTTCCGGCGTGGCATAAGGATTATCTACTCCATTAATTATCTTTATATTATTATTATCTTTTTAATTATTGTAATAGGTTTTTTTAGGTGAGCGAAAATATAAGCTCCTTCGAGGGTTTCTTTACGGTTCTTTACCTCGTCGCTTTTTTTGAACCGTCATGTTAGAAAACGTAGTTAACTAGGATTGGGTTTCTATTAGGGTTTCTCTCCTTTAAAAAGAGATTCTCCCCATGCATAATACGTATGAAATATTAACCCAGTTAAACTCTACTCCCTTCTCCTTTGGCGCACGGTTTCTTGCCGGCGAATTCTTTCTTCTTTTCTTCTCTTGGTTTCTGGAGCTTGGAGACGCTCGAAGTCTCCCCAATTCGATACTTAGTCGTATCAAGGTGCTCTCGTTGAGAGACGATGACAGACGCTTCATCAACCACGGCCGATCTCGAGGCAAAGGTCGGCGAGATGGGGCATGCAGTGCATCAGATGCAAAGGGATTTTGATTTCCGCCTAACGAGGATTGATGCAGCTTTGGCGGCCATGCAAACTAATCTGGCCGCCCTGCAAGTTGGTGGTGGGGGTCGAGTAGGCCGCCATGGTGATGATCATGAAGGACCTAGGAATGGAGGTGCTCCGACGCCCAAGCCAAAACTGGAACCGCCAAAGAGTGACAGATCTGAACCGTTGCGTTGGCTCTACCAGGTTAAGGAATATTTTTCATATTAAGAGACTCCTCCGGAGGAACGCTTGAGATGTGTTACAATGATGCTGGAAGGACCCGCGGCCGATTGGTTTCGTTGGCGGCGGAACAACGGCTTGATCGACGGATGGGAAGACTTTGTGGAGAAATTCAAGCTGCGTTTTGATCCTCTGCACTACGTCGATTACCTAGGGCAATTGGCACGGGTACGACAGGTGGGGGGAGTCATGGACTACCAGGCAGCTTTTGAAAGGGTTCTCACCCATGTGACGGACGTTCCCGAACAACATCTACAGTCCCTGTTCCATGCCGGGCTGAAGAACCATTTGCAACATGAAATTAGTCTCCTCAAACCCACTACTCTCTCGGCATCGTTTGCCCTAGCACGTGAATTGGAGGCAAAGCATAATGCCATAGTGCAATCAGTGGGGAGCCGGAGTGGGTCGTGGAACCCTAACGCCAGCCGCAGTTTTACGCCAGGAGGGCGGGGAACTCAACACGGGGGGTCTAACTCGACTCTGGGAAAACCCTCTATCCTAGGCAGTCCCCCAGCCGTCAGCACCAACTCACGGGAATCCACTGCTTCAACGCTCATTCGGCTACTGTCCCGCGCAGAAAAAATGGAAAAAGACGCCAAGGGCCTATGCTATAACTGCGATAAAAAGTGGAGTCGCGATCACAAGTGTGGACGGTTCGTATTAATGATGGGGGAGGAAGAGGGGGATGACGAGGAGCCTGACATGGAAGAAGAAGTAGACGTCACGGCCGACATCTCCAGTTTACACAGTATGGCAGGAGTCACCACACCACGGTCGCTACGCCTAACTGGACGGATTTCCGGGCAATCCATCGGGTATTGATTGACGGCGGAAGCACACATAACTTCGTTCATCCGCAAATCGTCGAAAGGTTGGGAATACCGGTGGAGGTGATCTCATCATTTCGGGTGTACGTCGGGAACGGAGACTCCCTACAATGTGACCGGCAGTGCAAATCAGTTGAGGTAATGCTACAAGGAGTAATGTTCACAGTAGACCTCTATGTGCTACAGATCCACGGCCACGATGTGGTTTTAGGGGTACAGTGGCTCCGCCAATTGGGACGAGTAGCACATGATTACGAGAAGGTGACAATGGAATTCACATGGTTAGGGCAAGGAGTGACTTTACGCGGAGAGTCACCTACGGCAAAATTGATGACGTTTAACCAACTCCGAACCTTACACGCAAGCAAAGATGTCGAGGCTTACGTGGAGCTCATGGCGATTCAGGAGACCAAACAAGACACCCCTGACCCTCCACTGCCAGCAGCAATCACTCAGTTGCTGGACGAATTCGGGGCTGTCTTCGAGGAACCCAAGGGGATGCCGCCCCGCCGAGATGCCGACCACAGGATTTTCTTACAACCGGGAACCAAGCCAGTAAACGTACATCCCTACAGGTACCCGCACTTCCAAAAAACTGAGATAGAAAAGCAAGTGAAACAATTGATGGAACAAGAGCTCATTCGGCCGAGTCGCAGTCCGTTCTCATCCCCGGTGTTATTGGTTAGAAAGAAGGATGGAACATATCGTATGTGTGTCGACTACCGTGCCTTGAACGCCGTCACCGTCCCAGATCACTTCCCTATACCAACCGCCGACGAGCTATTTGATGAGCTGGGAAAAGCCAACATTTTTTCCAAATTGGATTTGCGTTCCGGGTACCATCAAATCCGTATGTTCGACCGGGACATCCATAAAACTGCATTCCGAACCCACGAAGGTCACTACGAGTTCGTGGTCATGCCTTTCGGTCTTACAAACGCCCCTTCAACATTCCAATCATGTATGAACCGGCTTTTTGCAGTCCATCTCCGTAAGTTCATCATCGTCTTCTTCGACGACATTCTAGTCTACAGCGCCACTATGGAAGATCACCTGCACCACCTTCGGCGAGTATTCACACTATTACACGAAAATCAATTTTTCGTGAAGAAGACCAAATGCACCTTCTGTACACCGAAGGTCGAATACTTGGGCCACATCGTCACCAAAGGAGTCCTTCAAGCCGATCCTGCCAAGATAACCGCAATGGAGCAGTGGCCGACGCCTAAAACAGTGAAGCAACTGCGGGGATTTTTGGGTCTGACCGGATATTACCGGAGATTTGTGCAGCACTATGCCCAACTGGCAGCGCCACTCACTGACCTCCTGCGCAAGGATGCATTCAAATGGACGGAGCATGCCGGTGCAGCCTTCGAGAAGTTGAAGCAAACCATGACCACTGCCCCACTGTTACGATTGCCCGACTTTGAGGAAACTTTCGTGGTAGAGACAGATGCTTCCGGAACGGGGATCGGGGCCGTTCTTTTACAACAAGAGCAGCCTATAGCCTACTTTAGTAAAAAGCTCTGCCCACAACGGATGGCGGCTTCTACGTACCATAAGGAGTTGTATGCAATAGTGGAATCCGTTCAAAAGTGGCGCCAGTACCTACTCGGCCGGGAGTTCCTCATTCGCACTGACCACAAAAGCCTAAGGGAATTGCTCCAACAGGTCATCCAAACCCCGGACCAACACTTTTATATTCGGAAGCTTCTGGGGTTCAGATTCCGAATTGAGTACAAGACCGGCGCATCCAACAGGGTGGCAGATGCCCTATCGCGCATCCATGACACCTCTGAGGAAGTACATACATTATTGACTATCTCAGTGCCGGTATCCTCGCTCATGGCTGAATTACAGCAGGAGAACCAGGTGCAAGAAGACCTGGTAAAACGCCACCGGGAACATCAGCAAGGCGAGCTGGCCGAACCATACTCAGTCGTGGATGGGTTGCTGTATCACGGGAGGCGCTTATGTGTGAGCTCTACTTCTCCATTGCGGGTACAGTTAATCAAGGAGCATCACGATACAGTCATGGCCGGGCATCCTGGAGTTCAACGGACTTTCCTCCGGCTCGCACAAATTTTCTTTTGGCCGAAAATGAGGGCTGAAGTTCGAGAGTATGTTCGGGCGTGTATGGTGTGCCAAACCACGAAGTACTCTACTCAACCTCCTCCGGGGTTACTTCAACCACTACCGATACCCACCCACGTATGGGAGGACATATCCATGGATTTCATCGTCGGCCTACCGAATTCGCGAGGTAATAGCGTCATTTTGGTGGTTGTGGACCGCCTGACCAAAACCATCCACCTGGGGGCCTTACCGGCAGATTTTGACGCCCTACGCACCGCCCATCTCTTCATCCATATAGTAGTGAAACTCCACGGGTTTCCATAAACAATCATTTCGGACCGGGACAGGGTATTTTTGAGCAAATTTTGGCAGGAACTTTTGAAATGCAGTGGTACCACGTTGAAGATGAGCACCGCGTTCCACCCCCAGACGGACGGCCAAACTGAGGTAATGAACCGAGGGGTAGAACAGTATTTGCGTGCCTACACTCAGGAGAAGCCCACTCGATGGACAGCGCTACTGCCATGGGCAGAGTACGCCCTCAATACCCAATTTCATTTTGGCCTGCAAATGACTCCTTTTGAAGCACTATATGGGCGGCCACCACCGTCATTCGTACCATACATTCCGGGCGAGAGCAAGGTTTTGGAGGTGGATAAGGCTTTAACCGAACGTGATCAATTGATTCGACGCCTGCGGGTGCATTTGAGGGAGGCGCAACAGAGGATGACCACCGCCACAAACCGGCATCGACGTGACATGGAGTTTAGTGTGGGAGACCTGGTTTTGTTGAAGCTACAACCATATCGCCAACACTCGGTGGCCCGACGGAGGACATAGAAGCTTGCACAACGCTATTATGGGCCTTTCCGGGTACTGGAGCGCGTGGGTAACGTGGCATACAAACTGGAGCTGCCGGACGGGTCCCGAATCCACCCAGTTTTTCATGTGGCTCTCCTCTGGCCTTACTATGGTACGACGCAGGTGGGCAGGCCCCAGCCTCTGCCTGACGAATTCCTCCAGGGCCAACCCGTGTCCAAGCCTGTGCGGGTGCATGCAAGCCGCCAGATTTTGCGTCGGGGAAAGCTGGTTCAGCAGTATTTGGTTGAATGGTCCGACGGTACGCGAGAAGATGCAACATGGGAGCCAAGCGAGGTGGTTCGACACTTTTACCCCGACGTACACCTTGAGGACAAGGTGTTTTCTCAAGATGGAGGGAGTGATACGGTGCAACACGAGGACGGGGAGGGCAGCAACGGACGAGCTGAGGATGACCACGAGGCGGAAGTGACAGGGACAATGGGTGAGGAGCCGGGGACGAGCGGAGCTAGACGCCGGCGTGATCGAAAGGTTCCGGCGTGGCATAAGGATTATCTACTCCATTAATTATCTTTATATTATTATTATCTTTTTAATTATTGTAATAGGTTTTTTTAGGTGAGCGAAAATATAAGCTCTTTCGAGGGTTTCTTTACGGTTCTTTACCTTGTCGCTTTTTTTGAACCGTCAGGTTAGAAAACGTAGTTAACTAGGATTGGGTTTCTATTAGGGTTTCTCTCCTTTAAAAAGAGATTCTCCCCATGCATAATACGTATGAAATATTAACCCAGTTAAACTCTACTCCCTTCTCCTTTGGCGCACGGTTTCTTGCCGACGAATTCTTTCTTCTCTTCTTCTCTTGGTTTCTGGAGCTTGGAGACGCTCGAAGTCTCCCCAATTCGATACTTAGTCGTATCAGTGAATCACAATTTCAAAATAACAAGACACCGAGGTTCATTATTTTTGAAGTGCACTTTTTTTCAAACAAGAAAGGTTTTTTGGGAGAAAGTTCAAAGAAGTACACCTTCCGTCCCAAAACTACTCCTTCCCCTTTCTTTTTTTCTTGTCCTAAAAAATCCTTTTCTTTTCAATTAAAAAACTACTTTTATACTTACTAATTTTTAACCTACCTATCACATTATACCTTTTTATCAATAATATACCCATCACATCCTACTTTTAACCTATCATTTCAAAGGTTATTTTGGAAAGTCAACACAAAATTATCCCTCCCTTAAATTTCCTAGAAGTCAAAATGAGAAACATCTTTATGGAAGGGATCGGAGGAAGTATTTTATAAAAAAAATGCCCTGGGTAAAAAAGTAGTTATGCCCTCACCAACTTGGATGTAGGCGTGGGCATAAATCCGTTCCCCTTGTACCGTTTTGAAAATTTTTAGAATCATTTTGAAATTCTACCACTTTATTTGAGTTTTATTTTTTATCCCGAACCCATTCCATCCCAATTCTTACTAGGACATCATCGGGGTAACATATAAGTATACCGTTCCATCGTGTTTGTCTCGATTATTAAAAAACCACTTTTACCCCTACTTTTTCATACTATACCCTACCTACCACATCATACTTTTTCACTAATAACTAAACTATCACATCTTACTTTTACTCATCACATCAGGGGCAAAATTGGAAAGTCAACTACAATTACACTTTCCTTATTTTGCCCCAAAGTCAAAACAAGAACCGTTTTAAGAAATGGAGGGAGTATGAGATAATGTTTGTTTGATGTTTGAGGTACAACAAGAATCTACTCCCTCCGTTTGCAAAAAGACTTTCCATTTTGATTTGGGGAAAAAAAATAAGGAAGTGTTAACTTATACTCCCTCCGTCCCTGAAAACCTTTCTCCTTTGTTTTTTCATCCGTCCCAAAAAACACTTCTCATTTCTACTAAACGTCACTTTTATCCCTTACTTTTTCATACCATACCTATCACATCATACGTTTTTACTAATAATCTATCCATCAAACCATATTTTTACCCATCACATCAAAGGACATTTTTGGAAATTTTATACCAAAATACTCCTCTTAAATTCCTCTTCAAAATCAAAACTCTCATGTTTTCCGGGACGGAGGGAGTAGTTGATTTCCAATTTTACCCCTGATGTGATGGGTAAAAGTAAGATGTGATGAATAGATTATTAGAGAAAAAGTATGATGTAATAGGTAGGATATGAAAAAGTAAGGGTAAAAGTGGTTTTTTAATAGAAAGGGGAAGTGTTTTGTTGGAAGTGGAAAAAATGAAAGAGGAAGTGTTTTTTAGAATAGAAATCATCCTAAATAGGACTAAAACATAGAGAAAAGTATCAAAATAGGACTTTCATGTTTTTTTTCACGGAATAGGACTTTGCATTGTGGTAATGTGACTTTGCATTATGGTAATGTGACAGTGTACGTGTGCAATTTACTATACTTTCTTGGTAATGTATATGACCATGTTTGGAAATGTAAGTCCTATTTCGGGAATAAAAACATGGAAGCCCTATTTTGGTATATCTTCAATGTTTTAGTCCTACTTTGGTCTTTCTCCCTATTAAAAAATAGTTCTCAAGAACGAAGTTGAAACACCAAACGAGCGTAGATTATAGGTAGAAAGAAATGTAAGGATAGGTATTTGAATACCTATATTCACAAGCCCAAATGCACTCAAAAAATCTGTTCAAAACCTTCTTATAATCATTTTCGAACAACCAAAAGGTTTTAAACAAAATCAAAAAAAAAAATTGGCCAAAAATGAAAAAACCAACACAGTGGTCCCAAACCCCCTTACTGTCTGCCCGGGACCTAGGTTAGGAAAAGCATTAAACCTTACCGTTTTTCTTATTAAAAATTATCGAATATACTATTAAGACCCAAAAAGCACTAAAGTTCATTAATAAAATTTCATATTTAATTTGGCGGTATAAGATAATGAGCTATATTTTAGCTTAATAAATTTTCATACAAAAGAATAGATTAATAATTTTTAAGAAACTATATTTTACTCAAAAGATTAATAATATCATTTTCGTTTTTATGAGAAAAAAAGATACAGACTACTAACTCCGTCCCAGAGTATTTATCCACTTTCATTTTTACACACCATCCAATACACTTCTTTAATCCATTTTATCTTGTAATTTGTATATTAAAAAATTATAGAAATTATATATTAATAATCTACTACCTCCGTCCCAGAGTATTTGTCCACTTTCATTTTTGCACATACACATCCAATACACTTTTTTAATCCATTTTATCTTGTAATTTGTATATTAAAAAATTATAGAAATTATATATTAATAATCTATATGTTAAGACAAATCAAACAAGATCACACATGACTATATTTAGGCTTACACATTGAGAGAATTTGATGAGTCAAAGTGCTTAGATGAACAGTTCCAAAAGTCAAAAGTGGACGAATATAGCGGGACGGAGGGAGTATATGTTAAGACAAATCAAACAAGATCACNTTTGCACATACACATCCAATACACTTTTTTAATCCATTTTATCTTGTAATTTGTATATTAAAAAATTATAGAAATTATATATTAATAATCTATATGTTAAGACAAATCAAACAAGATCACACATGACTATATTTAGGCTTACACATTGAGAGAATTTGATGAGTCAAAGTGCTTAGATGAACAGTTCCAAAAGTCAAAAGTGGACGAATATAGCGGGACGGAGGGAGTATATGTTAAGACAAATCAAACAAGATCACACATGACTATATTTATGCTTACACAGTGAGAGAATTTGATGAGTCAAAGTGCTTAGATGAACAGTTCCAAAAGTCAAAACTGGACGAATACTCCGGAACGGAGGGAGTAATATATAGTGATTAGTTTTTTTAATGAGTAACTCGTTAATTTTTGTAGAAAAATTATACTCCTTCCATTTCACAAAAGCTTTCTCATTTCTTTCTTCATCTGTCTCAAAAAACATTTCTCAATTTTATTAAAAAGTCACTTTTACACCTAAATTTTAACCTACCTATCACATCACACTTTTTTACTATTAATCTATCCATCACATCTACTTTTGCCCATCACATTTAAGGGAATTTTTAGAAAATCAATACCAAAATAGACTTTAAATCCTTTAAAAGTCAAAATCAAATGGTTTTGTGGAATGGAGAGAGTAAATTTTATTTCATTTACATAATTTTCAATAAGTTCAGAAGTCCATGATTTTTTATACTCCCTCTATCCACAAATAAACTTCTCGTTCACTATTCACAGGGTCAAACTTAATTCAATTTATTTGGCTATTTTCGTCACCCATTTCATAAAGTAAAATAGTCATGTCACCTCTAGTTTTATAGATTTTTTGATATAGTTTTTTAATATGTAATTTTTATTTTTAAATTTTACACCATTTTTCATATAAAAAGTTTTGAAAATAATTTCAGTCAAACATCGTAACGCGCAATGGGAAGTTTATTTGTGGATGGAGGGAATATATAAATTATAGTGTTTTAAACTCGTCAAATTTTAAAGGTTGTTGTCATTAATAATTTTTCATAAATGATGAATGTGCATTTAAACTTTAAAACATGCTATGTAATTTATTCATGGGCCTTGTTGTTTAAAATTTGCCATGTAATTTATTCATGTGCCATGTTATTTAAAATTTGCCTTACAATGTAAATAACACATATCAACATTCTAAAGATTTCTATGCGACAACAACAAGTTTAGTCCTCCCAGCTCCTAGTGGGACCTGGCAAAATCTGACCCGACCCGTTACTATATAATCTGAAACCCGACCCGAAATTAGCGGGTTCTGAACATTGATTTTGCGACCCGAACCCAAAATGTCCCGAACCCGAAGACCCGTTAAATTTTTGGGTCAGAACGGGTCGGGTCGAGTTTGATCCGATGGGTTATGCACTTTATTATTTATATATTCATTTAAAATATGATATACCCATTAGGCTACACAAAACTCAAAAGGCGTAAAACCTAATCTAAATATAGTAACATTCCAGTATCTCTCTCCCTTCTCTCTCTCTCTTTATATATATATATATATATATATATATATATATATATATATATATATATATATATATATATATATATATATATATATATATATATATATATATATATATATATATATATATATATATATATATATATATATATATATATATATA